ATCTATCTATCCTCTTGGTTTTTTATGTAATTGCATTTGTTTACGCAAAAGTGGATTTCTCCCATTTAAGCATTTTCTTCGGTATTCAGATACCAGCTCATTTCAATCTGAAAGTTTAAACACCGCATTTACAAGTAGAGTGGAATGACGCCAATTATTCATGATGCCTTATTATGTGTTATCCAAGTATTGGTTGTTTATAATTCTATGCGACACCATGTGCATTGCTTAATGACTCCTCAATCGAATAAACTCTTCCTATGCTATGTCATGGCCATCGCTGTTTTCGTTCACTTGCCATTATTTGAGCATAGTCTCATGACAGCAACGGTGTGCTTGGCCTAGCAATCGGCAGCTCAGGACAAGCTCATGTCGATTTGGAAGAGGGCCTTACGAATGCCGGCATTGATGAGGGCCAGGGAGATAATATGAGTATTCTGAACGCCAGCATGGACAGACCACTTCATGAGAGCTCCAGTCATCTCTCTCAGAAGACCAGCAGCTCAATACAGAGTCATGCGCATGAAGAGGTGAGGTGAAATGATTGTACTAATATTTGTTATATTTTCTTTTCTTTTCCCCTTCATTCGGTCACATCTATTGCACTCTCTTCTCCACCGCATCATTCTGCTCGGTGGTCATGGTCACGCTAAAACTGCTCATCTTTAAATTTACTCTTCATCCAATGCGGTATCACATGAATTTGCTCATGGGGGATGGCGTGCGTCCTCCATTATTAATCATCTTTCACCAATCGTTAAGCATCCTTTTATTTCGTGGCGCCCAACCGCCAATTCACTTTCATTAATGTTTTCTGTGGCTCGGGTCTTCTTGGCCTGGCTCCACTTGCATATGTACTGCCATCATGTAGCTCAACTTATTTAACGACACTACAAAATCGACCTCTCAGATGCAACCCAGCAGGCCAAATGTGCCCCCGGGCTCAGCCGGAGATTTTTTTCCCGGCCAGCCGAGTTACCAGACCCAACAGATGGGCGCAGGTAACACTTTATCGATCAATCACCAGGATCTGAACGATCAGTTGGAGGTAGAGGTATACATCACTTTGGCTTGCTGTGAAAATTCTTAATTGTGTTCGTACTTCTGTTGTGATGACTTAATCAGCTGCCAATCATTCAAATTACCTACCTCCGTCCTCATCGGTCATATTTATTTATCCTTATCCTTGATATTGTCCACATATTGTGTCATCACTTATTTATGTTGTATTCCTCATTACCGTACTGGTTGCTCAATATGGATTGTATAATTTTATTTCCTCCCCATCTATCTTTCATTAATTATAGTTTATCTTCTCCGAATTGATGGTGAACCAGTCGATCCATACCATTGAGTACTGCCTAGGCTGTGTTTCAAATACGGCTTCCTATTTGCGTCTTTGGGCTCTGAGCCTCGCTCACGCTCGTAAGTCGTTTTCCTCAATTTCTTTTAGAATCCAGTTTGATATACTACTATTTTTAAGCCGTTCCTGCAGCAATTATTCCTTTTCTTTAATTCATCGCTCGAAATAGGCAAAAATTAACTAATTTCATTATATTGTGCGTAATGGGTATACTTGAGGATAGCAGTAAGGAACTATGGGCACCTTATGGCTGATATCGGAATTTTGCCGCTATGGAATGAGTAAATTTCACAAGACTATTTAATTTCACGCAGCCTTGCCTCCCACAAGGATTAAGCCTAAGTGCCAACACGTTGCCACTTCACCACGAACTGATTTAGAATCCCATTAGGACGTCAGTTTATCCTGAATGACAAACATTTTTAAGGGCATCTTGAGGCCTACCATTTTATTGTGGGGACTTTATATATCAGTCCTTACATCAACTTAGATGACCTAAGATGGATTAAGCTCTTATTCGTTAT